ACCTATTAAAAAAAAAAAGACCTCTCGTGGTGATAACTGACCATAATGCTGAACTGTGCTCTAAACAGGGGGAAACACATTATCTAGTTTACCAGCCAGCATTTCAAAGGTTTCCTTTTTAATGTGCCAATTAATGATTGGTCATCAAAAAGATCAATCAGGTTCTGGCACGTTGTCCATCCTTTATCCCCAAATAGTGAGCTGCTATATGGTACAGTCACCTAGAGAGTTAGCTTTATTGCTTCCTTTGGCACTTAAAGTGTTAAACTACAAATAAAAGCATTAATATATGTGGGTAGTAATATTACATGGTCAGAAACTGCATTGTTGGCTTTTAACACCTGTCCCGATCTCAGCAGGGAAGTAACTTTTAATTTTGTATTAAACCTACCCTTATTGTATTGGTCAGTATAACTTTTACTACACTGTAATGATTACAATGAGGTGACCACCAATTCCCAATTAAGATTGGATGATTATAGGAAGAAAAAAAACAACTAAATTTTGGGGTGTTTACTAAAGTGGGAATAGTAGAGGAATGGCAAGTGAATTTACATTTTTAGAACCCATAGGCATGCACTTAAAGGGACACTGTAGGTGCTCTATTTGCATCATCTAATTTAACTGGTTATACTATCTGGAGTCCCCTGGTGCCACCCTTTTTATTCATTCTAAACTGTTGTTTTTTTTTTTTTTTTCAATTGAATCAATTTGTATTGGGTTTTTCAGTATGCATTACAGATATCCAATGTGTCCAACAATAACAGTTTCACATCAACAATATGTTATGTCAGCATTTGCGGGGATAGGGTACAACAAGTGGGGTTGGTGATACCACTACATCCGCATTGCAGACATTATTGTGCAGCATTTGCCCATTTCTGGTTCGTGTTAGTCAGTAAGTGGGACATTACTTCATACACTCTGGTCTTATTGAGTTTTTCCAGTACCATATTCAGTGGTGGGGCCTGCTTTTTTTCCCCAGAAGGATGCTATGAAATTCTTTGCGGCTATCAGAACATGTATAATTGCGGATCTTTCCTCTTTTTTTGTACACCTTCGGGAAGATGTGTAGTATGTTGGGTGCAATGTGAAGAGGTAGATCGTGCCCTGTCATAGTGAATATCACCTCTTTGATTTGTGATCAAAAAGGGTTAAGTGATTTGCAAGACCAGAACATATGTCTAATCGAACCTTTCTCGTCCCCGCATCTCCAACACCTGACGGCCGAATTGTCATAAATACATGAGAGCCTCTGGAAGGTCATGTACCACCTCATCCATACCTTATATGTTGCCTCTAGGTGGTCTATGCTTCCAGTAGCTGCTTTTGTTTATATTAGTACCTGCTTCCACTGATGAGTGGTAAATTACTGGTGGATCTCTGTTTCCCAATTAATCATATACAAGAACTTCAGGGTTCTCTGAGTATTCTGAAGGGCTCTGTAGCAGGCTGAGTTTCCCACCCACACTTAGTCGTTCAAAATTACCCATCGGGGCCGGGTTTGGTTTTGCGCCTGTGATCTCCCGTACCATATGTTTAATTCTCAGCTATGTAAAGAGTTCCTTGTTGGAGAGCGCAAACTTCTTTTGCAGACTGGGGAATAATTCTAGCCCGGATTCCCCAAATAATTGGTCAATTTTCTGTATACCTACAGTGATCCATGGGTGGAGCTGTAAGTCCTTGATGTGGTATTGCAGGCACTGTAGTGGGGCAAACCACAGTGGGTTATTCGGAGCCAACAGAGCCCCCTTATTCCACATATTAAGGGAAACTGAAGTGGTGGACAGAGGCTGTATATGGGTGGGCTGTAGATGGGCTGGGGGCCTCAATAGGGTTAAAATAGAATGTGGGGTGATCACCAAGTTTTCTAGTGTATACCAAAGGAGATATATTCGGTTTTGTCATGGAGGCCTCCTGTCTGTGCCAATACAGTGGCCGCATAATATTTATGGACGTCTGGTACCCCCAAACCTCCCTCATGTAATAGGAATTGTAGTATGAGAGTTGATATACAAGGTGGTCTGCGTTTCCACACGTGGGTGTTTACGGCTTTTTGGAAGTTTGTTAGAATACTGAGTGCGGATTAGAAACAGTATTTGAGGGAGTACCATCATTTTCAGTGAGCTGATTCTACCAAACCATGAAATCATTTTATTTTCCCAGGATTGCGATGTGTGTTGTAGTTTACTAAGCAGTTTTGTGTGATTGAACTGTATCAGCTTTTGTTTTGTGGTTGCAAGTTGAATGCCCAAGTATGTTAAAGACTTATCTCGCCAATCGAAGGAGAATTGTTCCTTTAGTGTGTTTTTGGTTGTTTTATTCATATTAACGGGCAACACCTGTGTATTGTTGATGTTATTTTTATAGTAGAGACAGATCCATTTGCTTTTAATAAGCGCATTAGTTGGGGGAGTGATTCTGAAGGATTTGTTTGCAACAAAAGAATATCATCCACGAATAGTGCTATTGTTTGTTCTCCTACCGCCGTGTCTAGTCCTTGATCCTATCGTGCATTTGCATATGTTCACCAATGGTTCTAATGCCAATATAAAGATTAACGGCAACAAGGGTCATCCTTGGCGGGTACCGTTTAATAGTAAAAACATTTTAGATAAAAAGCCGATATTAAGGATTTTGGCGGATGGTGTTTTGTATAGTGCCAGTATTGCTTATAAAGAAGTTCGCTGGGAACCCGTATTTTTAAGGACCTTTGTAATGTACCCCAAATGTAAGCGATCAAAGGCCTTTTCTGTTTCTAATGCCAGCAAAAGCCCCAACCTTTTTTCTCTTTTCATTATTTCAAGATCCATAAACTGTCTTGTATTATCTCTTGCCTGTCGGCCCAGTACAAATCCTGCCTGCTCTCGGGAAACCAATTCGGATAACATTGGCTTTATGTGGTTGGCGATGGTTTTAGCAAAAAGTTTTGTGTCCGCATTGAGCAGAGAAATTGGGCGAAACCTTTCACATTTATTGGGAGATTTTCCTGGTTTGGGTAGGGTTATAATGTTTGCCTATAGCATTTCAAGGGGCATGACCCTTGTTTCCATGATATAATTGAAGAGGTCTATCAGGTGAGGAGTCAGTATGTCTGTGAATGTAATGTAGTATATATTGGTAATGCCTTCCGGCCCAGGCGCTTTGTGCTTTGGTAGGGACATTAAAGCCCTGAGGACCTCATCTTGCGTGAAGAGGGCATCCAATGTCGCCTCCTCCGATTGTGATAAGTGTGGTAGCTGATAGGCCTCCAGAGTTCTCGCTGAAGGAGCTGAGAGCGCCCGGAGCAGTGGGACCTGCACATGGGCTCGTGAGAAGGCCTGGGGCCGGCTGAATGGTCAAAATTGGACTACCGGGACACTGTCTACATCTGACACTAATCTGGTCAGCATGGGTACAGGGCACTGATGGCGAACTTATGGCACGTGTGCCTAAGGTGGCACTCCGGTCCCTCTCTGTGGGCACATGGCTATAGGTCACTGGGGAAAGAGGCCGTTAGCGCCGGTCGGCAGCAATGCAGAATAGGCATCTGCCTGTCCAAAACGGCAGGCGCCTACTCTGCTTTTGTTTCAGGAGGACCCAGAAGCAGGGGGAGGGATCTGGGAAGCAGTTCTCCTGTCCTCCCACGAGAAGGCTGTGTGGAGCGTTTCTGCGTGTTACCATGGCAACGCTCCACACAGCATTCTGCGCCCAGGAGGACAGGAGAGCTGCAGCCAGAACCTGTCCTACATACTTTCCACCACCGGACCTCCAGGGCTGGCTGTGTCCCCCCTCCAAAGGTAAGAAGAAGGGAGGGGGGGGAATAAAGATTTTAATAATAGATTTGCTACCTGCAGCACACCCCGCCCCCAAACACACACAGAACCCCCCCCACACACAGCACCCCCCACACACAGCACCCCTCTCACACACACAACACCTCTCCTGCGGGGAGAGGGAGAATCTGGGGGAGAGAAGAGGAGAATCTGGGGGAGAGGAGGAGGAGATGCTGGGGGTGAGGAGGAGGAGATGCTGGAGGAAAAAAGGAGGAGTAGATGCTGGGGGGAGAAGGGGAGAGGAGAATCTGGGGGAGAGAAGGAGGAGATGCTGTGGGGAGAGGAGGAGATGCTGTTAAGAGAAAGGGAGAGGAAGAGGAAAATCTGAGGGAAAGAAGAGGAGAATCTGGGGGAGAGGAGGAGGATAATCTGGGGAGACGAGAAGGAGATGCTGAGGAGAGAGGAGGAGATGCTAGGGGGAGAATGGGAGATGAGGAGGAAGAGATGCCAAGGAGAAGGGAGAGGAGGAGGATGCCAGAGAAGGAGAGGAAGAGGAGAATCTGGGGAGAGGAAGATGAGAATCTGGGGGAGAGAAGAGGAGAATCTGGGGGAGAGGAGGAGATAATCTGGGGAAATGAGAAGGAGATGCTGAGGGAGAGGAGGAGGTAAAAGGGAGAATGGGAGAGGAGGAGATTAGGGGAGAATGGGAGAGGAGGAGGATGCTGAGAGAAGGGAGAGGAAGAGATGCTGAGGGGAGAAAGGAGAGGAGGAGATGCTTGGGGGAGAAGGAGAGGAGGAGGTGCTAGGGGAGAAATGGGAGAGGAGGAGATGCTAGGGGGAGAGAATGGAGAGGAGGAGATGCTGGGAGAGAAGGAGGAAGAGATGCTGAGGGGAGAAGGGAGAGGAGGAGATGCTGGGGGAGAAAGGAGAGGAGGAGATGCCAGGGGAGAAGGGAGAGGAAGAGGAGAATCTGGGGAGAGGAAGATGAGAATCTGGGGGAAGAGAAGAAGGAGAACATGGGGAGAGGAGAGAAGAAGATGCTGGGGAGAGGAGGATGCTAGGGGAGAATGGGAGAGGAGGAGGATGCTGGGGGAGAAGGAGAGGAAGAGGAGAATCTGGGGGAGAGAAGATGAGAATCTGGGGGA